TTTCTCTTTTTGTTGACAGTGTAATTCAACGAAAAGCAAGAAGATGAAACATTTTTATTGTCGATATGAAACAAAAAATGATAAGTGAACAATAAAAGAAAACAGTGCTGACAAATTTATGGATAATAAAAGTTTATTGAGTACTTTTTGCTAATTTCATCTCTAGTTTAAAAACAACAATTATTTGTCTAATCAGGGTTTATCAGGCAGCTATCTCAATACTTTGTCAACAAAAGCCGTTCTGTTTCCTTCAAACTACTAATTAGTGTTAAAAACCTTGTCTAAGCGTTATTTTTAGATAAACTAGTTTGAGTAAATGCTGAAACTGTTACGCAGTATATCTCATTGGTGGTTACCACTTATGTTTTGTAGTTTCTGTCTAGCTGTTGACTACATACAGTGTAGTATGACCTGACCACAGTTGAGTGACTGAATTCAATCCATCAGGTCTAATTACTACACTTACTAAAGTTGCTTAAATACATTTTTCTGATGGCTTGTTCAATTTTTCAAAACTGTATATTCCTAAAAACGAGTATTTTTTACTTTTGCTTCAGCAAACTTTATATCATATCTTCTTTATATCATATCTTTAAAAGTTTTATTTAGTAATTTTACCATTAAGCAGGCATTAGAAGTGTTGCGGTTCATTGTTGTTTCAGAATTTTTAAGCAAAGTTTTCTAAACAAAATATCTGGCTGCCGGACCTATTTGAATAATTGTCTAATAGGACTACAGATAAAAAAATTTCTAGTGGATAGAGTAGACTTAGTTTTTTTTTTTTGTTTTCTGTAATGTTTCGGTATATTTGTTTTGTTTAATCTGTACTTTCAAAATGGTTCTCAAATACACATTGTCATTTTCCACGGTTGAAAATTTAAATTTTCTCTCCCAGTTATGCACTTCTTGTTTGTCAATAGAAATTACCAACTTTACCACAATATTATGCAATCCTTCTTTGATAATCTTAGAATATGTTGTTGTATTGGTAAGACAAGAGTTTTTTTTAAATTTACTAAGTAAACTGAAAGCTGTTATGCTGGATAAGGTGTTGTACCAAACCTACGGCACTAAAAGCAAAAGTTCTGGCTTTTTTGTTTGTAGAAAAAAATATTTATAAAAGTGAAAAATGTTTTGATAAGCTAAAAAAATATGTTTTTAGGCATCCTTTTAGAGTGTCCGGCAGTACTGACTGTTGGATTTTTATGTAAATTCTAACCTTTAAAACAAAAATTTTTACGTAATTACTTTTAAAAGTTTAACCACATAGAATAAATTGCTGTCAGTATATATATATTTTTTGGTAATCTTATTTGACAAGATTTATAAATATAGTCAAAAATTTAATTTTTTGATGTGCTTGGATCTACTGTTCTGCTTTCTACCGATACTTAGCTATATTGGTCTAAGCTGAAAGTTTTCAACATTGATTGCAAAAAAAGTTGACCCAAAATTAAATTATACCGATATTTACAACCGTCTAACTTGAACGTCGAAACTTTTAACTTATGACCTCAGTAATTTACAGTTTTACAACACAGTTAATTCGTTTAATCTGCGCTGTAAAGTTGCTGACAAGATTACGTTTCGTACCAATAGCAACAAATTTTCTTGAACATTTCGCTTTTTTTCTTTTTTTTTTCATTTTTTTTGCTAGTTGAACTAAGTGCATAGTGTAGAAGGAAAAAAAAAAGAGGAAAGAAGGAATGTAACAGTGTTTTTAACTTTAGTCATGTAAGCAAATTTTTTTTACTGCACAAACTTCAGTTTTATTCATAGCAATACTTTGTATATCATTGCGGAGGAGAAAAAAAGCAGAAAAAGCGAAAAAAAAAAAAAAAAA